AAGGAGAGGACGTGATGTGCAAATGACGTGATGGCTCAAAAGTGAAATTGGCTGATTGTGAACAAAGTTCACATTTTCATTTTCTTATGTGTGTTGCAGAACTTCCAGAGTTCCTATGATTTTGAATGTAATTTCACCTCTGCCAGCAGTAGCTTCTGCTCCTTCAATCATGGTAACTGGTCTGACAGGATAGTTACCTTGGCATTTATATCAAGACTTACTTTAACAGGATGTCCACTGACATAACCAAGTTCTGTGAATCCCGGATTTCCCCTATAAAGCCTGGGTTACCTTTTCCAAAGAAGATTTATGTACCATATGAAGGTCTTTACATGTGTAACTTCCTCCTTTTCTGCAGCTCTTTAACCAGGTAATACACCTTCACCTAATGTGGGATTTTGAGGCAATGTCATATCTGCTGCCTTGGTGAAGTTTAATCTTTCATTCTGTGTGGTCTGTTTCTGATTTTTGAAACTGCTAGGAAGTATGAAATCATCGAATTCTTCTCAACGCACTAGTTAATCCTGTTGTTAAGCTTTTAAAAACCTGTCATCAAAATATTGCTTGTAATCTCCAGTTCTGTAAGCTTGTATACTTACATTCACAAATGCTGTTTTAAATTGAATGATTACAGAGCTTTTTAGACTCTGCAACAAAACATTTTACACTATTTTCTTTGGATGCCTTTTTTTTAACTCTGCATTCCCATATTATTACTTTGATATCTTTTACAAAGCTTTAAGTGCGTTACTGGTTGGCTGTATTAGTTTGTTGCATTCAATCATTAAAAATCTGTTTCTTTGTGGTATTGTATCTCTATACTCCGTATTGGGTTTTCCCACCTTTTCCAGGCCTTTGTGTCATTTTTAACAATCAAATGTGAGTTCACCACATTTTCCTATCTTCAGCAGGAGTCTCCTGTGTTTTTTTCCAGGATGTTTTTTAGCTTCTCATAGGTAAAATGCTAAGCATTTCTGCACAAATTTTTAAGTAATGTTCCCTGGTTGCAGACTTTATACATCTTCAGATCAAAATCTTATCTTAACTATTGAGTCCGGGTGCTTCTAAATATTTAATTTTTCTTGATTTTCCTTCTTTTGCTAGATTATTTCGATAGATTTCTTTAAATTTTCTAATTTTCAGCTTAAATACGTTCTGAGGCCATCTCAATTCTCTAGGTCCTGGTATAAATTTCTGACCCTTCTACTGTTATCTGCAACAGTGCCTCATGGAGCCGAATGTTAATGGAGGTATTGATTATTGTGAGAGCTGGGACCTCTTTATTCTTCCTGGCCTTTCTTTTCTAACTGTATCCCTGGAGCATTCTGTTGTTCCATACAGGACTTCCTTCACTATGGTTTCTGTATTTTCTAAATGTGGTTGACTTTTCAATCTCATCCTTGCCCACATTCTTTCCCCAGCACTTCTTACCAACTTTGGCATGATGTTTTCCCTTTGGTGCACTGAGCATTTTGCTGTTTCCATAGACTCTTGCTGTGGGGATGTGTGTTTCTGACTGACTGACCGTGTCTTCATAAAGTGGTAATACACTAAAAGTCGTAAACTCACCTCATTTTTATTCAATCATGGGTCACGGCCATCACTGTTTGGGCAAGCATTTATTGTCCATTGTTAATTACCCTTGAGAAGGTGATGGTGAGCTGCTTTTGTGAACCACTGCAGTCCAGGTGTTGTATGTAGACCCACAATGCTCTTAGGGAGGGAATTCCAGGATTTTGACCCAGCGACAGTAATGGAACAGTGATATATTTCCAAGTCAGGATGGTGAGTTACTTGGAGGATGATTTGCAGGGGGCGGTGTTCCCATGTATCTGCTGCCCTTGTCCTTCTAGATGGATGTGATTATGGGTTTGGAAGGTGCCATCTGAGGATCCATGGTGAGTTTCTGCAGTGCACTTTGTAGATAGTACATGCTGAGCTCCTGAGCATCAGTGATGGGTTGTTTGAGTTAGCTTGCAAACACCAATTCTCCTTTGATTTTAATATATCTTGGGCCTATCTAGTGATTAGTGGGATGAGATACACCACCAAAGAGTATTTGTAGAAGGGTAATATTATTAGACCACAAGAAGGTTTATTGAAGGTTTATGAGAACAATAAGTACAATTACATTTGGTCAGCTATAATTATTGGGACCTTATGGAGTTTGTACAGATTTATCTGCTCCCTCTAAAAGCTGGATTAGAATCCCTTGTCCCCACACAGAGATTGTGTGCGACATCACTAGGAGATTATTCAAAATTGATGCTCCATTTTAGAAACTAGAAAAAATGATGGTTCCTCAGAGTAATGCAGACCGAGATAGGTCAAGGAATTACGATTGGAGTTAAGAATTGAACTTTGAACAACAGCTTGTTTTAAGAGAGAACAAAAACAGATTTTTTTTATTGGGAACTGGCCTGGAAAGATAATGCAATTTAATTACTGATCTAAGGACAATGTAGACAAATTGACATTGAGCTGTTGCTATGCTCATGTGGTAGCTGGTTGGATGTTGAATTGGCCAATCAAGGAAGGACAAGTCCTGACTGGGATTTAGCAGGAATTAGGATTTTTTTTGGAGACTCCTGGAGACATTGTGCTTGGCTTTGCTCTCTGTCTAATTTCTTTTCTGTCATTGAAATTTTAAATGTTCAGAGAAAAGAATCCCAGTCTGTAAGAAATAAGTAAATATTTCTAGAGGCCTACTGAAACGTTTAATAACTTTGGAATTTAAGCAAGATATACAATTTGTCTTGTTTGTGTACCCATTGAACAAGGATTTCATGTTTCATGTCATCAATTGTTGGAAACTGTTTATTGAGCTGGCAAATTAAAATTTGTTTATTTTCTTTTTTTGTTTGTTCCTTAACTGTGTGCCTGTCTGTCGGTGTGTGAGTGGGGGTTATAATCAAAGAAGATTGGGCTTTAGATTGTAGATATTAATTAGATTACCTTGTAGTTTATCTGTGTTCTGCTATAGTTACATTATTAGTTTTTATTTAAGTTATAAACTGGATGTCGAGGATCAGTGATTCATGAAGTGTGGTTAGGGACAATTGGGCAGTTTTGAGGGTCACTGAATGTTTTACTTTCACTGTGGTGCAAATCCAGTGGTTGGCTTATTTGGTTTGGCTTACTGTCCCTATGTTGTGAGATTCTTCAAAACACTCTGCAGTTCCACAACTGAGTAACAACCTATTGACAAATTGTTGTGGAAGGACCAGAGAGCAGATGAGCAGAAATTGTGCTGTTTAGTGATGTTTCTAATGTGGAATATATTGCCTGATAGGATAATGGAGGCTGAATCAATAGTAATTTTCCAATGGAAATTGGAAATATACTTAAAGAATGCAACTTTCCGAAAGAGCAGAGAAGTGATATTAATGAGGTGTCTAGACCAAAGAGCTGACGTGGACAATGGTGGGTGAATGGCCTCCATCTGTGTTGTAAAAATGAATGATTCAATGAATTCCAGTTTGTTTCCATTTATTTACCAGGTCATTATTTCTTTGCAGTGAACGCTGACAATCAATCCCAAAGGAGTAATGTCATTTAATGCTAATAAGAGGTTCAATACATTTCTGTGACTCAAATGCCTGAACTCGATTAACAGCCTGTGTGAATGAATTTACCGTATGATTATTTGGACTGACTGGGCTGGTAGGAGATGGACCAAGCATTGTACACATCGTCAATAAAGAATTTCCAGGCTTTTGGGGTCAACTGATGGTTCGAATTTAGAGCATGTTCAGATTGGGTGGATTGGCTATGCTAAATTGCCCATAGTATCTAGGGTGGGAAATGTAGGGATATGGTAGGGGGTGGGTCTGGGAGGGATGCTCTTCGGAGGGGCAATGCGGGCTCGATGGGCCAAATGGCCTGCTTCTACACTGGCGATTCTATGAGATCATGTTCAACAACTGCTGCTTGATCTGAGCGGATTTGACACCTTGAGCAGTCAAGTCATGTGACTCATGCTTGATTCCTGTCCAATCAAACAAAATAAAAAGGCAAAGAAATTGCTGGGATGTATGTGCAATAAACAACAGGAGAAACGGAACATTTTTTTTTTGACGATGTGCCTAGGAATTTGAGATTTTGGAGTCCCAACAAATAAATGCCGAGGTACCAGATAAATCCTTGTGTAACTCCTCATGAGGAATCTACAACGACACAATATGATTTGACACATTAAACACCAGTGGATTAATACTGGTTATGCAAAGTCCCAGGCTTATACTTTTCTAGCCAGAATTCACTGATTACATTTTTTTTATATCCAGGAGTCCTCTTACAGTCAAATAAAAGATTTTTTTTTCCACCAAATTACCTGTGATATTTTATTGTCTATTAACCATCACCAGCAAATCACTTGTGTTTGCATTTAATCAATTTACTTGGAAAACCTGTTAAGAGCATCAAAGGTGAGAGAAAGGGGGGAGAGAGCAAAATCAAAATGGAGTTGGAAGCGTTCACGCCCCCGCCCAACACACTGCGGTGCCCACCTCTCCTCTAAAGGCATTGAGAGTATTGGGGCACACCGTGTGCTCCCTCTGCAGGGACACCCAGGCCTGGATGTGACTGTGGAAGATGGGCAGCCAGTTCGGCCATAATGGTGCCCATCACGGTCCACTGCCTGGGCCTGTTAATGGCCAACTTGGCCAGGCCCAGGAGCAGAGCTATGAAGAGATTCCCCTCCTCACCGGGTACCCAAAGATCAGGAGGGACTGTTGGACTGAGGTGCAGCCGAAAACACAGGAAAAGTTTCTTCAAATAACTGAAAAGGGAGTGCAAACACCCATAACTAATATACACATGGGCCACGGGCTCCACGGTGTCGCTAAACAGACAGTTGGGCTGGGAGTCTGTGACTCACCACAATCTGCGGTTACACGGGACTGCTGCATGCAACACCCTCCATGCCAGATCCCTGAGGGAAACAGGGAGGACCCCCACTTAGTGAGCCCTCCACTGGGATTGCTGCTGCCCAGTGGTAAATGGGCACACCAAGGTGTGTCCGAGTGGTGGATGTAGGAGAAGAGGTGGATGGTGTCCAGCAGCAGTCTTTGCAGGCCGCGCCATTTTGTATCCCTATAAGACATAAAACACTTATTCTGGAGGTGGCTCAGGTTGTGAGCCACAGGCTCCCGGGAGAGGTACAGGACCCTGGGGCCAATTGGTCCAGGGGTACGTGCAGGCGGGATTCCAGCACATCCTCCAACGTTGGGTCTGAGCACTGCTGTTTTAAGGCTTCAGATGGCAGTGGGCATAAACCAGATATCTACTGCTGCCCTGTGTGCCAATTACTGTGGCAGCGTCCAGCCCAGGTCCCAGCCACGCAGCTCGTCCCCAACTCAGGTCATCCCCACAGCCATGGCCCACCCCTCTGATAGCCCGTCAAACCAGCGACTACAGAGGTGCGGATTCCTGAGTAGCGGCTCTCTCTGATGATAGCTGCCACTCCTGCCGGAGGGTAGGCCTGGCGCGATTTGACCATGTCCCAGATGTTGATCAGGTCTGAGGGTGACCTGCAAACGCTGGCGGTCAATGCATAGGAGCTGCGTGTCGTAACTGAGGATACACACCTGGCAGCTCATCTATTTATCCATGGATTAACATATAACCATTGGCTATTCTCTACTTCTATTGGTCTTGGGCATCCTGACCAGACTTTGCTCGATAACAACCCAAATCATATCTTCATTTTTCACCAGTTCAAATCAAATTTGTTACTGACTTCTAAGTGGCGCAGTGGCTCAGTGGTTGGCGCTGCTGCCTCACAGCGCCAGGGACCTGGGTTTGATTCCACCCTCGGGCAACTCTGTGTGGAGTTTTCATGTTCTCTGCCTGGGTTTTCTCCAGGTGCTCTGGTTTCCTCCCACAGCCCAAAGATGTGCAGGCTAGGTGGATTGGCCATGCTAAATTGCTCATAGTGTTCAGGGATGTGTAGATTGGGTGGGTTATGGGAATGGGTCTGGGGGTCAGTGTGGACTTGTTGGGCTGAGGGGCCTGTTTCCACAGTGTAGGGATTCTGTGAACCATAAAGTTAATTAATTAATTTTCTCCTGTCAACCTCATCACAAAAGGACTCATTCATAAGTCCAATGAAAACTGCTGCAAAAATGATACATTTTGCCAAACCTTTTGTCTTTTGCATTCATTCTTATATTTGCAAGAATACAATGTAAAGGAAAAAGTGTTATATAATATAAAAGGAAAGCGCTGATTGATGATGTTGTAGAACAGAGCGTTCTACAAGTTCAGGTCCATACTTCTTTGAAGTTTGTGTCACATGTAGACAGGGTGGGTAAAAAAGTGTTTAGCACGCTTGCCTCCATTGCTCAGCCCTTTGAGTATAGGAGTTGCAGCATCATGTTGAGGTGGTACAGGACATTGTTGAGGCTTCTTCTGGAGAACAGTGTGCAGTTCTAGTCCCCCTGCTATAGGAAGGACATTTTGAAACTGGAGAGGGTTCAGAAGAGATTTACCAGGACGTTGCCAGGAATGGAGGGTTTGAGTTATAAGGAGAGGCTGAATAAGCTGGGACTTTTTCACTGGAGCATAGGAGGTTAAGGGTTGGCACTTATAGAGGTATATTATCTCATGAGGTGTATAGATAAGGTGAATGACAGGTATCTTTTCCCTAGGGTGGAGGATTTCAAGACTAGGGGAAATGTTTTTAAGGTAACAGGAGAAAGATTTCAAAAATACTTGGGGGCAGTGGAATAAACTTCCAGAGGAAGTGGTGGATGTGGGTACAGTTAGAACATTTAAAAGACATTTGGATAAGTACATGAATAAGAAACATTTGGAGGGATATAGGCCAGGAACTGGCAGGTGGGAATAGTTTAGTTTGGGATTATATTCGGCATGGACTGATTGGACCAAAGGGTCTGTTTCTGTGCTGTATGATTGTATGGTGAAAACCTGTCCATCTTCTCTCACACCTATCCACCTCACCCATCTCACTGACCAATCCCCACCACTCCCTACCTGCATTCACCTATCACCATCCCACCTACCTTCCCCAGCCCCACCCCTCCTGTCTCTGTTTATTTCTGAGCTCCTCTCCCCCTCCCCATTTCTGAAGAAGGATTCCAACCCAAAACATCAACTTTCTTGCTCCTCTGATGCTGCCTGGCCTGCTGTGTTCCTCCAGCTTCACACTGTGTTGTTTCTGACTCCAGCATCTGCAGTTTTTGCTATCTCTCATGGTGAAAATTGTACGCTGATTAGTATAGGTGTTGTGGTGGGAAATGCACAAGTTAATGACAATTGACAGTTAACTGCCAGGCTATGTTTACATTTTAAACCACGTAGGTTGACTCTGATTGGTTAAGGCATTACCCTGACATATGAGCCAGTGAATGGCAGTCACTTATTTTGCAGAATTCTAACAGTGCAGTGCATAGGTGTATTCTTTCTGTCTGCAAAGAACAGGGGCCTGTGCATTAATATATGGAGATTGGGTATAATATGGTCACACAAGTACCCAACACTTCAAGCCTGACTGCAAATCCTAAATTAGTTATCAGTCTAGTTCTTTGCACATGCAGGATTATCCAGGAAATATCATCTAATTGTGGAATCACATCTAATGTCGGACATTGTGTTGCAAGATTTGCAAGAGTCGGCTGGTTGGTTACAGACAGTACCTTGCTTGTTGCAAACAGCCTGAAAAAATATGCTGTTTGATATGACCTGTCTGTGTTTGGGACATAGAGTCTATATACCCAGAATCACACCAACACTGAAACTCATTCCTGTAACAGACAAATTGTCTTTTCAGTTTGACAGTGGCTTCCTGTTTGTGGTGCTTACCACTTGCATTGGGTTCTGCATATTAGCAGCATGAAACAGCCATCATCACCCCCTGTTATTCAAATGTTTCCATGCAGCACATTCCAGACCCTAATTGACTCACTGAGTGAAAAAGTTTTATCTCACATCACCTTTGCTTCGTACTGAATCATGTCTGTGATGGCCTGGATTATTCATACACTTTCCTACGTTTATGGTAGTAGAATGATGGAAGAGTTTAAGAAGACACTATAATTAAGGTGACAGGATAATTTGAAGGGATTGAGAAGATGATAGTGTGTTTTGTTTTTCTTCTGATGGGAGGTTTCCCTTACACATTTTTCTTATTGACAGCATGCAGTGTGTAGAAATCAAAGGTAGAAGAAGTGAGTCAGAAACAAAGATAGAAATTGCTGGAAAAGCTCAGCAGATCTGGCAGCATCTGTGGTGAGAAATCAGAGTTAACATTTCAGGTCAAGTGACCCTTCTTCAGAACTGATTCCTCTCCAGCGATGCTGCCAGAACTTCTGAACTTGTCCAGCAATTTCTATTTTTGCTTCTGATTTATAGTATCCGTGGTTCTTTTGGTTTTTATGAAGTGTGAGTCAGATTCGAAGTGCTGGGCTGAGCTGGCTTTGTGAATTATCATGTATGTGAACACTTGCAATACAATCATTAATTGTGATGCCCCACTAAGATCTGATGTGCAATCACTTTGAAATTATGAAGAGCAACGTCTCAAAATAAACCACATCCTGCCTTGTAACCATTGCATTTGAATAAAGTAACAAGATGAACTAGAATGTGATATTTTCAAATTCTGAAAAGTTGGAATTTAATCAAGGAACAACACTAAAGAAGCTGTATGATGCATGTAGTTGTTCATTCTAGAGTATATCTAGTTCACACAGAGATCCCATTCTTCCAGGGATATTGCCTTCTCGAGTATCATCTTTAACACCACTATCATTTATATAAAATCAATAATATTCAGCAATCTTCATGGTAATTTATCAAGTGTTGGTGGTGAATGAGAAAGAGCAGAAGAAGTGTCTCAAAGACTGAATCAATGGCTCTCATACTGTTACCAGCATGCATAATTGCATTTTGAAATAATTTCCTTGGCAACACAGTGTACTGAAATTGTCCACCACTTTCATAACCATCATTCACAAGCTGAGTGACAGGCATTCTTAACAATCCAACTGCTTGTTTACTGCTTTCCTAATAAATTATAACCATGCTAAAAAAAAATCTACTCACAGGTAGACCACCTGTGAGCTGTGCGCATCAGGTTAGTTCCAAATTAGCAGTTGATGATATTCTTCAGAATTCACATATTATGTTTGGATTACATTGACAAGTCATGGCTTTGGTTGCAACCATTTTTGTTTTTCTGCTTTTATCTTCTTGTATTTTTTTTGCTGGAGTGTTTGCCCCTCGGGCTGAGGCTGGCAATGAACAGAATGTTCTCTTACTTTTAGTCCAACTGGTGATGGTATTAAATTTGTTTTGGCTCAGGTTGCAGCCAAGCCTGAAGGGAGATCTGAGGGAAAATATTCACTTATGCTGAATCTCACGAACTTTATAGATTCACAGAAGGAGGCCATTCATGTGTGTTTTGGTTCTCTGCATGAGCTAATCCCAACATCCTGCCACTTCTCCTTTGTCCTGCGCATTTACTCTCCATATTATCATCTGATCCAATTTGAAAGCCACAGCGGAAGCTGCTGCTTGCACACTCTCAGACGTTGCATTCTAGACCCTATCCACTTGCTGGACAATCATTATTTTCCTCACGTTGCCTTACAGTTAAAATAACTCCAAAAAAGTCAGCATGCCATCGCCAAGTAACCCTTTATTTACATGTGGAAAGCCCTTGACACTGATCCAGCTTCGTCAGAGTCAGCTCTCAGAGTGAACAGAACCTTTGACATTCCTGTTTAAATCTGTCAGCCAGGGGTCCCTGATTGGACTAGATTAACACTCCCAATCAGGGAACTCAGATTCCATCTGGCTGACCTCCTCAGAATCACTACAACATTCCCTTGGCATTCACCTTAATTCCTTTGATTCTTTGGCTTTGGCCAATGGGAACAGTTTCTTTCTATTTAGTCTGTTATCATTTTGAAAGCCTCTAACAGCTTTTCTTACTGGCTTCTCTTTGAGGCACTCAATGGAGGAACTAAGACAAGTTACAGTAATGGCCACTATCCAACCGTACAAAAATAATGGACAGGAAATAAACAGCTGGCCCATCAGTCCCAGTCTCTTCCTCTGGGTTAGACAGAAACCAAGTTCTTGGAGAATCTTTGCATTACAGAGAGAGTGAAGCAGTGTTTATTTTTATAACAGTGAATATACTTGAAAAATCCTTCATTGGAAGA